GTAGCATGGATTAGATTCAGGGAAAATATGCAGGGAGGTTCGGGCTCCAAACTGTTCTCCGCCGTAAGCTGGGCTCCAGAAAAGATGTGCCCAATTCAGTGACTGAAAATGCTGGGATTGCGTAGCTGTTTGCAAGCAGCAGCCAGTCCCTCCTCTGACCCATCCGCCACGTTCTGTTGGCGTTTGAGAGGTAATGACCGCCTGCAGGAGAGCGGGGGACTGGTAGTGTTCCGGCCGGACTGAGGACTCTTTCACCCCAGCTCGCTCTTCCAACCAGACTTCCAGAGCAGCGCAGAGGCGGCTGCTCGAAAGTAATTGTAACTTCTGCGAATCATATGCAAGTCCTTCCAACACGTCTCACCTCGTAGCGCTCTTATTATTATTGTTATTAGCATCGTTATTTACTATTATTTATTTAACTCCTCTTCTTTCCATCCCACTTATTTGGGTGCCTCTCGGTGGAGGTTCGCTCAGTTTTGGGTGGAAAGAGGGGCTAAATCGCCGACTTTGTTCCTTCTTACCCTAATCCCTCTGGCCACATCACATTTTATCTTTCGTTGCTTCATGTAATTTGTGTGTTGCTGTGTGATCTTTGGTTTCGTTCTCCAAATAGATGCAAATAAAATATTGTTTCCTTCTCTCGTTACCCCTTGAATTAACTTCTAAAATAAATGCTTTATTTTTCAACCCGAACCGCAATACTTTTCTTTCCTGGAGGCCAAGGAATACTAGCCTTGTAAAGGATTTAAAAGTGAGAACCCAGAAGGGCTGGGCTGTCACTTCTGGCAGGTCAGTTTCCAGGCCATCTTCTCTCTTTGCTTGTCTTCCCCGACTGCCTCACCTTCTTACCCAGCTCTCCCTGAACCTCAGGGTTTCCAGGCACTTCCTCCACGCTTCCCCGCATTCAAATCTGTCAGCGTCTGTTTGCTTAACTTGACCCACATCACAAATTTTGAAGCCTGACTGATGGAATAGCCCCCAATACCTCCACCCATTGGCTGAAAGATCCTGATGCCAGCTTCTTAACTTCTTTGAATCTCCGTTGCTTGTCTGCAGGATGAAGATGCTAATGCTTACAACAAGGGTATTGTCAGGACTACCTAAGATTGTTTATTTAAAGCAACTGGTAGTACTTGTCTCTTAGTAGGAAACATTCTTATTTTAAAAGATTCAAACGGCTAGATAGGAGGTGAGAAGAGAGATACAAAGAGAGAAGAAAGTGTTCCTTACTGGGACAGAGTCCGTTGGGGCTTCTTCAGAGTTACTTCAGAAATTCATTTGGAACTATCACCCAAAAGGTTTCTCACTCCACGGTGTATCTCGGCTTGTGTGTGTGTGTGTGTGTGTGTGTGTGTGTGTGTGTGCACGCGCGCGCCCGCGCGTGTGTTGGGGTGGGGATGGGGAGTTGCTAATAAGATACCTGCCGCAAAGATCCTAGCCTAATGCCTGTACACAGTAGGTGCTCAACATATGCCGGTTTCTTTCTGTCTCTTTCACACAGTCTGAAAGGGGTGGACAATCTTATTTGTGAGCCACAGAAACACCTTCACGATTTAAAAATTAATGTTCCAAGTCCAGGAGTCGTCTGTACGTTTCCCCACTGCGTCTTCAAAGAACTCTGGGTCATCACCTCCAGCCTGAAATTCGGAGCAGAGTGGGTCTCCCCTTCGCGCGGTGCGCCCCTCTACTGCAAAAGCAAACCTGAGGATCGCCCCCAGCCCTTGAGTCTCAGCCCCTCGCCCCCGCCTTGCGCAGCAGCCCCAGCGATTCCTCTACCTCCCTCTCCATCGGGTGTCCTTTAATAATAAATGCCCTTATGCCATTACATTATATTGTGGGTTTTGAAAATTTAAAATACGGCTGATGCAATATTAATTGCCTATAGTGGTATAAAACACAGGGCCGGAGCCCAGCCGAGCTACAGAGGAGGCGGCCGTGAGCGCCCCGCGCCGAAACGAAGCGCTCCAGACAGACGCGCTTTTGCGGCCTGAGAGGCTTCCTGCAGGTAAGAGCCTTTGGCTTTTCTGGCCCGGGAAAGAACCTGATATCCGCCTCTATCTCCTTTTCGAAAAGTTCCCTGCTGTTATATATTTGTTTATTTATTTGTTTGTCTTATTAATAACCTCAAAAGTTTGGGAGACTTTTTTTTTTTTTTGGAGAGGTTAAGATGAGTCGCCTGAATGCAAGGCCTGCGTCAGAACCGGTCCCGCCGGGTTGTAAGTGGGCCCCGCGCCTCTGTGCCTCATCCGCTTCAGGCGCCTAGAACCTTCAGGGCCCACGAGTATTTTGACCAGTTTCTACCTGCGGGCGGGAGCTGCGCCCAGTCCATGACGCGCCCCACCCTCTCCCACCCTCTGAGTGCGCCGGGCCGGCGCCGCTGCCTCTCTCCTTGTGCTAGCTCAGGAAGCAACGGGAGCTGTGGTTTCTCCGGAATTGTGCAGTCGCCTCGGCTACTAGTCGGTGGAGGCACAGACCTCTGGAGGTTGGGGCACGGGGCGGGGGCTGGGTACTGGCCGGTTTGGGGTTCACACAGGCCTGGTTTGCATCCTCGTGGGTCATTTCCCAACCACATGACCTTGGGCACGTCACATCATTGCTCTAAGCATCCTCTGTTGGCTGTAAAACCTCACAAAAATTATTTTGAAGAGTAATTGACAAGCACTCTGGAGCAACTTTTCTTTTCCCAAGTCCCACCTACTTAAAACATTTACTGTCTGAGGCCCAGCTGGGAGTTTCTTTGAACTGTGCCAAGAGACTGCTAGGCCAATGTTAGGGCTGTTTGTGTGGAAAGCTGCATTGGGCCTCTCATGGTGGGACTTTGAGAGTCATCTGTGGACCAGGGGTAAGACTTCTAGGCACTTGCTTGGCTGCAACCACGGGCCTGACAGGGAATGAGCCAGGCATTCACAAGCCAACATGACTGAAGCCCTGGCAGGCTGAACTTAGAGGCAGGAATCCTGGGCTTCTGGGCCCAGGCTGTGTGACCTCTGGCCGGGAGCTTCCTCTATCTGTGACTAAGGTAGTGTGAGTTTTGTCTGTTTCATGCCCAATGCCAGCTCAGGGTCTGGCCCAAAATGACAGACAATAGATATCTGTTCAATGAATGAATGAATGAATGAATGAATGAGGTTTTGTTTTGTAAGATGAAAGAACCCCTTCTAACTCAATCCTCTCTGGATTCTGGGGACTGTAGGGAGAAACAGAGACCATCAAGAATAGAAAAGTCTCCCTGGGAATAGGGTCAGGGCCAAGGTTGTCTGCATTTCAAGCTGCCATTCAAAGGCAGCCAGTTTCCTTAGTGTTTAAGTTAGAAGAGGCCTTGCCTCACTTTGTGGTGATTGTGGGTACAGAGGGGGGACTCTGTGACATGGGCCCTTGGAGCTTGAAGAGGAATCCAAGGATTGGGTGTGAACTCTGGCCTGCTGAATGTACCTGACCCTCTCTTGGCCTGACTTTGAGCCTGGATTATTTTATTTTCCTGCTGAGATGGTAACAACTCCAGCTCTGGAGTGAACAAACCTGGAGGTGGAATGCCTACTCTACCTCTTACTTGAGTAAATTTACCAAACTGAGCCTCCATGCCTTCATCTGTAAAACTGGGGGAAAAAGACTCTCAGGATTGCTTTCATAAGTAAGTGAAATCACATAAACCCAGGGCCTGACACATAGTAGGCATTCATGGATACTTACTCTCTTTAAAACAGTATTTATACTCAGAAAAGTGAGAGAATATGTTGCAAGGGCAAATTTCAGAGTTTGGAGTCAGGCAGGATCAACATTTTCCCTCTGTAAGCTTCAGTCTATTCATATATAAAATGAGAGTAGTGAGAGATGTGGTTGTCAGAGGCAAGCTAGAAAGCTTAAAAGAAACCCTTTTGCACACTGTGAACTCCAGCTATGGCGTTCTTTCCAGGAGTCCATGGTGCAAATAAATAGTTCCCTCTAAGAGGCTTGACCCTCATGGGCAGTTTCTTGGACTTAAGCCTTCCTCCTCTGTACAATCCTGGCAAGCATCAACTGTCAGTGAGGATTCAAGACTCAGCGCAACGCTCCCTCCAGAGGGGCAGGGCTCCAGTGGGCAGAGGAGGAGCAGGGGATAGGGTCACTGGCCCTTTCTCCCCAGCCCTGCTCCCACCTTTGGGCCCTGGCGCTTGGATGCATCAACCTGGACACAGAGCGTCTGTTTTCACTGAAGGAGAGACTGAGGCCCAGAGAAGGGCGGAGGGACTTAGCTGACTCCTACCTTAAATTGTTTTTTCCCCAGTCACGCTATCAAACTACTCTGTTAAATTTCTTTCTTCGTCCCGTATTACTGCTTGATAGCACCCTGTTAATTTATTCAGCAGTGAAATCACTTGGGGCGAGCAAGCACCACGTCTGCCCAGTTCCCACTGCCTCCCTGGATCGAGCTCAGGGCGGCGCAGAGTGAGCGCTCCACAAATGTTTGTCGGATAAATGAGTAATTATATCTGATACGTACTCAAGGCTTCCTGTATGTCAGGTACTCTTCCAAGCACTTTATGGGCAATAATTCATTAATCCTTAAAAAAACATCATGAATAGATTCCATTTTTAACCCCATTTTACGGATGAGAACTTGGAGGCAAAAAGTGTTTATGTAACTTGCCCAGGGCAAGTCGTGAACACAGCAGTTTGGTAGAGACAGCTGGCAAACCTGCCCCCCCCCGCCCCCCGCTTCTTCGTCTCACTCATGCCCAAGTGAGACCTGACTTTGGCAGGTGGCAGCGACGGGGACCGCCAGGGATGGAGGTGGAGCAGACGCGTCAGATTTGGCTGGAGACTAAGGCGGGCAGAGAAGGTGGTGAAAGCTGAGGAGGCGCGCTGGCCTCGCGGAGATGCTGGGCGCTCCGCCTCTGCGGGTCTTCCCCTCGCCTTTCCACGCTGCCTCTCAGTTCCATGTTCCTTTCTGTGTTCGTTTA